ACAGAGACTAAATCAGTTGGATTCAGAGAAATTCTCTTGTTCAATCTGTTTGGAGCTACTGCAAATTCCAGTGACTATTCCCTGTGGACACAGCTACTGCTTGAACTGCATTAAAATCCACTTTGATGATGAGGACAGGAAGCAAATCCACACCTGCCCTCAGTGCAGGAAGACTTTCACACCAAGGCCTATCCTGGAGAAAAGCATCTTGTTGGCAGAGCTGGTGGAAGACATGAAGAAAACTAGACCCCAGGCTATTCTGGCTGATCACTGCTATGCTGGACCTGAAGACGTGTCCTGTGATGTCTGTACTGGAATGAAGCTGAAAGCCAGCAAAACCTGTCTGGTCTGTTTAGTTTCTTACTGCAGGAAACACCTACAACCTCACCGTGATGTTGCCCAACTAAGTAAGCATACACTTGCTGGGCCATTCAAGAAGCTCCAAGAGAACATCTGTTTTCGCCATAATGAGGTGATGAAGATTTTTTGTCGTACTGATCAGCAGACTGTCTGCTATCTCTGCTTGCTGGATGAACATAAAGGCCATGAAACGGTCCCGGCTGAAACAGAAAGGACAGAGAAACAGAAAGAGCTCGAGGTGAGACGACTAAAAATCCAGCAGAGTATCCAGAACAGAGAGAAAGATGTCAAGCTGCTTCAGCAACAGGTGGAGGCCATCATTAGCTCTGCTGATAAAACAGTGGTGGACAGTGAGAAGATGTTCACTGAACTGATTAGTCTCATTCAGAATAGAAGCTCTGATGTGAAGCAGCAGATCAGATCCAAGCAGGAAACTGAAGTGAATCGAGTCAAAGAGGTTCTGGAAAAACTGGAGAAAGAGATCGCTGAGCTAAAGAGGAAATATGCAGAACTGGAGCAGCTCTCACACACTGAGGATCACAACCAGTTTCTACACACCTACCCCTCACTGTCAACACTCACTGACTCTACACCCTCATCCAGTATAAGCATCTGTCCTCAGAGGTACTTTGAGGATGTGACAGCAGCTCTTTCAGAGGCCAGAGATAAACTACAGGAATTTCTGAGAGAGAAATGGACAAATTCCTCACTAAAAGTCACTGAAAAGGATGCTCTGCTCTCACCACCAGAGCCAAAGACCAGGGCTGGATTCTTAAAATACTCCAGTGAAATCACACTGGATCCAAACACTGCATTTCCACATGTGTTATTATCTGAGGGCAATAGAAAAGCAACAAGGGTGAAACAAAAACAGGCTTATTTTCATCATCCAGATAGATTCAGTGGATGGGAGCAGGTCCTGAGTAGAGAGAGTCTGACTGGGCGTTGCTACTGGGAGGTGGAATGGAGAGGGGGAGGAGTCGGTGTAGCAGTTGCATATAAGAATATCAGAAGAATAGGGAAGTCATATGAATGTTTATTTGGTTTCAATGACAAATCATGGGCATTATGTTGTGACACAAACAGTTATGTATTTTGGCACAACAATGTACAAACTAAGCTCTCAGGTCCTCGGTCCTTCAGAGTAGGGGTCTACCTGGATCACAGTGCAGGCATTATGTCATTCTACAGCATCTCTGAAACCATGACCCTCCTCCACAGAGTCCAGACCACATTCACTCAGCCTCTCTCGGTTGGACTTTGGCTTTGGGTAGATGGAGTCACTGCAGAGTTGATTCAAATCAAATAGAAGGACAAGTTCATTTTGATCCCTGATCATTATGTATACATCTAAATGAGGCTTTTTCTGAAGCATTCAGTGGGCGACAGATCTGAGAATAATTTTGCAGTGATTACAACTGTACTTATATTTATATAAATATAAATCAGAATTTGTTATTATAGCTAACATGAGTTAATGTGAGTTTAAATTATGCTACTTTTTATATTCAGCATACTTTAAATCATTAATCTGTCTAGTTTAGTCTGGTTAGTGGTTTTATTCTGTGTAACTCTGTGGCTGTCCTAGGCTAAGTGCAAAACATGCATTGGAGCTGTAAAGATTCATCTGTTAGTGAATGATTAGGCATTTTATTGTTTTATCATTTTACTCACAAAAGTAAAATAATGAGTACTCTGATTTCTAAAATGTAAAAAATAATTTTCCTTTTCATATATGATTGTAAACCTAATGTGGCTTCAACTTTTAAAATGTAACCAAAATTTGGATCCTGGAGTTGTTTGAGATTATAATGACAATTATATGGATATACTTTTCTTGCATTTATAGTTACAAATATGTGTGTATGTCTAAATTAATATAATTTTTCACGTAAAAATGTGATGTCACTTCATGATTTAACAATGAAAATGAAATAATACCAAATGATCTAAAAGCTACTTTCAGCTGCCCCTTTATTCACAAACAGTGATCACAGCAGGTAGCTCCCCATGTATGGAGAAGGTCAGGTATATGCTATGATTTCAAAATAAAAAATGATTACAATTAATACAAAGATAACAAGAACAGCAACATTCAAAAGAAAACGAGAGTGTTATACAGAGGTGGGACCAAGTCATTGTTTTGCAAGTCTCAAGTCTTTATCCTCAAGTCTCAAGTCAAGTCTCAAGTAATGTCAGGCAAGTCAGAGTCGAGTCTCAAGTCACTGGTGTAAAAGTCCGAGTCAAGTCACAAGTCTGAAACTTTGAATTTCAAGTCCTTTCGAGTCTTTAAAAAAAACAACGAAAAAATAATGTTGCAGTTATATGCTAAATGTAAATATTAGACCATGTAATTTTAAAATCTGTGTTTTTCTCAACACATACAAAATAGTGAACTTAGAAAATATACACAAATTGTGAAATTGCACCTCTTTAAAATGCAGCTCAATTAAACCTAGCTCCAAGAATAATTTTCACCGACAGTTCTGAGATAAGCTGCATGTTATTCTTGGATGCGGTTGTAGGACCAGCTTTAAAATCGCATGACAAAAATATCATACACATTAAAAAAAACTGTATCACCAACGTAGCCTGGACAACATTTGCTAGTTAGATGAAGTCAGCTATCTCATCGTAGCATATTTATATGCATATTTATAATCATACGGTTCTTGGAGTGAGTGCACACACTCATGAAGTTTAGTAACTTCCGGTCACTGCAACAAGCCCAGGTACAGTTTACCGACGGATGGGTGCAGGACCTTGAAATGCACCGTGTAGAACGAAAGACCATCGTACGTATCATAAGTTTACCAGTCTCACAAATCGTCTTCATAAATACACATTCCTTAACCGTTTATTAATAGGACCTTTGAGCTCAACGGTAATTAATTAGTAGTGGAAATAATTTCTGGTACCCATCACAGAAATGTAGCAGTGACAATAATATTGTATGCTGTAATCGTACTGGGCAATTAGTGATACAAAAAACCTGTTTTATCCTGTGAATAAAAGTATGTGTTTTTGTCAGTGTACCATAATAACAGAAGCGAAACGCAAAATTGTGTCAGGACAATTCACTATTTATGCACAATAAATAAAGGAGCATAGCGCAACAATTTCTGTTCAGCGCCAGACTTGCTTGTAACCTATATCACCAATTATGTTAAGAAAAATGACGCATTAACTACAACAGCAGACTGACCTTTGTGTAAATGCTTGGAGCAGACTAACCTGTGAGCTGGAGTGTTCTGGGACGTTATATTTGATCTTTGAATGGCTGCAATCCAGGCCATCCGTCGCCTCCTTGTTACTTCGGAAACATGGCTCGAACAATTTCTCTTCAACGACGTAATCCGATAACAACCGATCTCTTTACCCGTCGGCTTCCCGTGGCTGTCATGCGACCGGCTATTGCAGTTAATAATACAACGGCTTCTTGACATTTTTGTGTTTCTTTTTATCGCTGTGTGACTGATTTTAATTGAAAGCCTGCGTGCGCTAGTACCGCTTGCCACGAGTTCCCAGAATCCTTTGCGGTTCTACCCGTGAATGACGTCACATTTTCAATCTCTATATAATATGCATGTTAAATTTTATATTTGGGGTGAAATATCAAGTCTTTTCAAGTAAACCGGTTCAAGTCCAATTCAAGTCCCAAGTCATTGGTGTAAAAGTCCAAGTCAAGTCACAAGTCTTAGAACATTTTTTCAAGTCAAGTCTAAAGTCATAAAATTAATGACTCGAGTCTGACTCGAGTCCACACCTCTGGTGTTATATATCGAGGAAAATAAAAGAGGGATGAAATTGCATCATAAGTTTATAAAAAGAACAACTAAAGTACTGACTTTGAAATTGTGATTTACAAATACAAAACTGGTAGTATTTAAAAACATATCTTTTGTCATTTCTTCAGTACTTTGCCATTCATACCTCCCTGAAATGTAAAGTCAATTAAACTATTGACAAGTCTTTATTAGACCTAACACAGCTTTTCAGTTGGCATTCTTTTTACATTTGACTACAGTTCAACTCCAGCTACAGTCATAAGTAAGCAAACATGAACGAAGACTATGTGCTGCCTTAAGACGTTCAAGGATCAATCAGTGTCGATTACCAGAATGAAAGTGTTTTATGGATAAAATTGTAACTCCTGTGGGAAAAACAGAATGACGTTCTGTATGTTTTCATTTCAATTTGGCCTTAAAATCGTTTTGTTTTTTTAAATAAACAAGATAGACTTTTTGTTTATAAGATGGTGTAAACACTGTAAATAGTTATTTTAAATGTTTAGCTCTATTCACTCCAATTTACTGAGGACCATCTTGAAAATGTCCTTAATTGAAGCCATTTTCAGAACTATAACAGGAAGGGAAAAGACTTCTTAGATTGGTTTTGGTGTTTCTGTGTGAAATCAGTAAAAACATGAACATAATCGCCATCTAGTGGCAGAGAAAGGGAATTAAAACACTTTGTGAATGAGCTGCCACAGCAGTGGTCCAATCTTCTACTGTGTTAGGAGTATTCAGATAATTGTGCACATAACCAAAATATGGTACAAATTTCAAGTACCAATTAAGAACAACAATATATAGCAATTTTCATTTCATAACAAATAAACATGTAAAAGGGGCTGATGATATAAAACAGCTCTGTATCAAAGGCAGTGTGGAGTAAGCAGACCTGCTTCTGTTCACTCTGAAGATGAAGCTACTTTAAGAAAACCCTCAGAGTCCCAGAGCTTCTTTCTTCACGCTGCAACCCAGCAGGACATTTCCAGCATCCACACACTCTGACACACACGGTGCTAAAAACACAAAACAGATATTAAAATAATGATTGTGGGAGGAAAGCTGTAGAATGAAACAGTTTTTTAAAGCTGTTATTTTATCTGTTACAATCATTGCTAGTACCATTGTGAGCACAGAGCCACGAGGCAGCCTTCATAGCCAGAAGCTCCCACTCGTCCTTTGCATCCATCTTGAAACCATGAAGCCAGATCAGAGCCAGAATGGTGGCCCACACTTCACTGCTGGTCTAATTCCCCAAATCAAAATCAATCAAATAAAACAGACAGAACACACATTTTACTTTCTACAACCAGTAATATTACATATGTTTGTGTACTTCTTTGTCACACGGGGTCACCAAGGTGGGCAGCTCTGCATATTTGATTTGGCAGATTATTACACTGGATGCTCTTCCTGATGAAATCCCAAACTGTGATGTCATAAATGCTCTAAAATAATGTGCTGACATGTTTTTACAACAACTGATGAGGAAAATAATTTCTGCTGCCGTGTGGTTTCTGGATAATATCAGACGCTGGTGCAGCTCAGTGGGAGGTTAGGAGTGTGATTACCACCAGTGTTTTTGCTTCTGATATGCAGATGTTTATTCTCAGGCTGTGAGGCAGGCCTACGTTTAGTTTGACTTCATTTTATTTGTTTTATGGTGTGTTTTAATTATATCATGTGTTTTTGTTCAAATTATAGAATCAAATCTGTTTTATCTCACATCATCATTTTGTGTTAATATTTAAATTGACAGCAGTGCACCTTTTCAGGCTTTGACTTTTCCACCTCCTCGTTGGTCTGTCCCAGTGCAGCAGCCAGAGCTGGATCAAGCAGCCAGCAGCCAGACGCCTCCTGCAGGGAGACTAACTGCAGCAAAGGGTCTCTGGGTGGCTGCTCAGGCACAGCAGCTGGAAAATCTAAGATGCAATAAAAACAAAACCCGATTATGGTGCTAGATGACAAACAGAACTCTACATGATAACCCAGTGCATAAAACACCGCACTGTAAACTATGCAACAGATAAATATTGTTTTTCACTTGAAAATTACATCTTAAAAATGTAATCATTACATAAGAGCTCCACATCAAACATCAAATTTTTACAACTGTCTGAACTTACTAATAAAGATAAAAACTGTCAACACCACACCATCAGCTACCGTGGTCTTAATGAATACAATCTGAAAGTAATCAAACTGATGAGATGAAAGCTTGATACGATGTAAACTATGCATTTCACATACTGTACTGTGAAAATATATCAACAATATATTAAATTCAGGGGCTTAAAACAGTGTTTAAATCCTTGTTTTCATTTGATCTACTGGAATATAAGACTAATAGATTATTCTATAGGAGAAAACTGGAAAACTCATTATCTAAGCAACTGAACTAAACATTGTACAGTCACTTCCACTTAGCGTTAAATTCCCTTCATGTCTACCAATATAAGAAAAATAGAAATGAATAAGTTCTTAGTATTTTATTGTAACCCAGCAAATTGTAAATGATGGTTTGACAAATATTAAGAAAGTCCCTGAGCCCCCACTCTCGTGTGAGCGCTCTGTGACTGCCCTTGCTGCAAGTAAAACTGTGTGTTTCCACTCTCTGACTCTCTACTGAAGAAGTGTCTTTAGAATACATCTCTTGACAGACACATATTAAGAAAATAAAAATTTCCATCAGCTGACTTTAGACAAAAACTACATGTTAATTAAAATTAAATACATGATCTCAAGTTGTTACATTTCCTTCGTGCTTTTGCTGCCATCATTGTTCTTGGGTCTGCATCTGAAATTGTTAAACCATAAAAAAGTTTTTTGAGGTAATTACAGATAATTCCTTAAGATATAGTATCTAAATGCACAGATTTGTCAAAAATAGTCATATTAACTTACTCATGGCCATTGGAGCAAATATAGGTTTGGAGTCTAACTTATTAAAGAAAAATAAAACTGGCAACACCCCAGCATCAGTTAAAGTGGTTTTAATGAATACTATCTGAAGGCAATCAAGCTGATGAAATGAAAGCTTGATACGCTGTAAAGTATGTGTTTCACATGTTTTACTGGGAAAATGTATGGCCAATAAATACATACATAAATACACATAATCAGATTAATTTAATATGATTTATTGGAATATAAGACTAAAAGATTATTCAACAGGAGAAAACTGGGTCTCAATATCAAAGTAACTGAACTAAACATTCTCCAAAAAGTTGATTCTGTTCATCTGGACGTAGCGTTTTGTGGGAGAAACGTTTCGTCACTCATCCAAGTGACTTCTTCAGTCTCAGCTGAGTCACTTGGATGAGTGACGAAACGTTTCTCCCACAAAACGCTACGTCCAGATGAACAGAATCAACTTTTTAAAGATTTACTTCCCTGGATGATTGAGAATGCATCAAGATGAACTAAACATTGTTATACAGTTACTTCCACTAAGCATTAAATTTCCTTCATATCTACTAAGACAATGCATGCTAATTTTTTTTCTTACTTTATTCTAACCCAGCAAATTATAACTGATGGTGTCACACCCATTAAGAAAAAAAGAATTTCTTTCAGTTGACCTTTTGAAAAAACACACATGTTAAAACTAAAATACATGCTCTCATTTTTTTTTAAACTTACCTTCCATTACCTTTTGTTTCCTCCCGTTCATTAAGAATCCTTTTTAATTGGTAAACACAATGCAACATTTTTGAGGTAATTACACAGAATGCCTCAGCAATAGTATCTGAATGCATGCATTTCACAAAAACAGTCATATTCCAAGAAAAAAAATCATAACCTTTTCACTTCCTGATTTAATACAATGTAAGAAATGTGCACTATTGTGCCCCTCTGCCCTTAGCATACACACTCCATGATAATATTCTTTTGGCTGTCAGAGACACAAACATTCCCCTGACATACATGTTGCTATGGACCACATTACCAGCTCCTACATGTAATAGCTCACATCATTTCCTCTGTGTTTAACAGATCACAGAAATGGCCAAATTACAAGTACAAAATATGGATTCTCACATTCATGAAAGTTGATTTTTATTTTAGGGTAACCCTAACCCTTCCCCCCCCCCCCCCAAATGTACAGATACACACATCTACACATTAACATAGACTGTGCAGATGTGTCATTTAGGTTTTACTTACCCTTTAATTTACACTCTATAATGTAAAAAATAAAGAAAGAATTAAACAAACAAAAAATAGAGTCAGTACATTTATCAGAATTTGTTAAAGAACACTTAATTACTGATGTGTTAAAATACAAATAGAAAACAAATAGTATAAAAGTATTTAAATGTACATCACTGTCACCTTTCTAATCCAAATCTTGATTTCTTGTAACAAATACTTTAAAGTCAATGTCATTTTTTGCTTTTGGATCATCTGAACCACACTCAGATATTCTGCTCTTAAACGTATCATTGTACTTCACATTCATCTCTTTATCTTTAAGGAAAGCAAATAACCATGAAAAAAAACATTAATCTTATGATGTAATTTCTTCACATCATACTAAGTTTCTGGAGTCTTACAGCAGGTTAGACTATTACTACAATATTTAAACTGTATTTAAATCTAAATGCTGATAAACATCACCTACATTTAAACATTCAAATTTTGGACACATTGACTTATTAAATGATCTCTTTCATTGTTTTTACTCTTTTGTGCAGTGAAGAAGAAAACAGCTCTTTATTGAAGGAGCTACATATAGATATACGACCTTCTATGAATTGTAATAGAATCACATATTTAATATATTACATTTCTAATTATTTACTAATTCAGAAAAATTCACAGGAAGGAATTGTTTGCATGCCTTTAGTGGCTGACTAAGGACACAGCCAGTTACAGCAACTATCAAACAGCAAACAAATACTGCAGCAAATGTGCAGTAAATGTTCGACATTTAACATTTCAAATCAGCTCAAATACTAATATGTTTGTTTCTTTGTTTTGATTATCAGAAATGCACATGTGTGTAGATGTGTGTTGTCACTCAGCTTCTACTTACCTGGATCACCACGTAATGCTATGTAAAAAAAAAAAAAAAATCCGGTTTAAAGTTTACAACAAGCTGAACAAATTAGAGAAAAATAACAACTGGCATTACCACAACCTCCATCTTTTAACTTTATTAATGAACCTTAAACAGGTTGAGGTTTTCAGGTAAAAAGCTCCACTTTGGGACACAGCCCATTACAAAGGCTATTAAAGCAAATACTGCAGCTATTTGCATTTAACATTTCAAATTAGTTCAAATACAAATGTGTTGGCTTCTTTATTTTTATTCTACAGAAATGCACGTGTGTGTGTGTGTGTGTGTGTGTGTGTGTGTGTGTGTGTGTGTGTGTGTGTGTGTGTGTGTGTGTGTGTGTGTGTGTGTGTAGATGCTTGTTGTTGCTCAGCTTTAACTTACCCCACCCAAGTGGAGCCAAACTTGGCACTATGCAAAAAAAAGAAAAAAAAAAAACAAGAAAAAAACAAAACAGGCGGAACATATTAGAGAAAAATGAAAACGCCACATCCAGCTTTAAAATGTATTAATCAACCTCAAACAGGCTGAGGTTATCAGGTAAAAGTCTTCGCTTTGGGACAAAGCCCATTACAAAGGCTATCAAAGCTATATACAGTATTGAGCTCCTATGTAAAAGATAAAAAAAACAAAACGGCCCTGGATATGCAAATACAACACAAATAGTACAAACACCTATAAATATACACAATGTTTATCTGTTTAGTCTGATTGTTCCATTTTCATGTCATAACCAGAGATGGACAGTAACAAGTTACTGTAATCTGAATACTTTTTTCAAGTAACGAGTAAAGTAAGGGATTAATGCAAAAAAGGTAATTCGATTACTGATACTTTCCCGTAAGCACGCTGCTTTACTCAAACCGTGATTTTTTTTTGTGAGTGTCTCATGACAATGACGTAAGCGAGTGTGACATTCGTGAGAACAGCTGTGTGCAGCTCAACAAGGGATAATATATCAAGTGCGGGAGAGAGTATGAGCATGCAGTGCTTAAAATGTGAAAGTACTGATCTTACTTTGAGTTTGATTCCCATGCAGTGATTCCGTTCACTGCATGGGAAGAAACCTAATCTTCTTTTTACAGCGAAAAAACCCCTAAACTTCCAAGCAAGCAACGAGTATGCTACCACAGAATGGGAAATTCACAGAGAAAGTCTCCGATTCTTCAATTGACATGACCGCTGCGACACACCTGCACCAGGGCAAACTTCCGCCTGCCCCACTCCTGCTATACAGGTGAAAATAAGAGCAACAGGATCGCTAGTCCTTGATTTTACTCATTTTCTGCTGTGTTTTACTTGCATCTATTGAAAGAGTGAGTGTAAACACAAAAACCTTATTTTATGTGCTGGAATGTGCAGAAAATAGGTTTAAATGTTAAACAAATTTCTTCCAGTCAGAGAATGTTGCATGTAATTTAACTTTTGCTTGATGCATAAAGTTAAAAGATTAAAACTCATAAAACAAGTTTTTTTTTGTTTTTGTTTTTTTAAAAGAGTTTTCCATTTGATTACATTTTATATGATGGATTATGCAGAAAAAGTAGAATTGGGCTGAAAGATCTATTGCTTTATCAGCTATTCAGGTTGTAAATCATGTTTTTTTAAAAGTAACTAATTACTTTTGAAAATAGGTAATCAGTAAAGTAACAGGATTACTTTTTGGGGGAAGTAATGAGTAATTAGTTGCTGATTACCTTTTTCAAGTAACTTGACCAAAACTGGTCATAACTTTCCTGACATGTCTGCCAGTAAAATTTCCTCACCTGCATCCTGTTATCTGATTGGTCCCTGCTTTATGTATACATCATGCTTAAAACTCTAGTTTATGTAATTATCAATTTCTAATGTGTTCCCTAGTGTTTTTCTTCCACGTGGCCATTATGCATTAAGCACTGTCTGCCACAAAACCACTCAGCCTCGGATCATAATAAAAAAAAAATCTCCCCACAGGATCAGATAACAAAAATAAATAAACTGGTAAAAATAACTAAATAATTCTAATATTAATGCAGTGCCTCACATGTAGTATTATAAGTAGTATTTAAAGTGTAAAAGATGTTCACCAATATTCAGAAACTTAAACTCCCATGGAGTCCAGATGAAACATACAGGGAGTGCAGAATTATTAGGCAAATGAGTATTTTGTCCACATCATCCTCTTCATGCATGTTGTCTTACTCCAAGCTGTATAGGCTCGAAAGCCTACTACCAATTAAGCATATTAGGTGATGTGCATCTCTGTAATGAGAGGGGTGTGGTCTAATGACATCAACACCCTATATCAGGTGTGCATAATTATTAGGCAACGTCCTTTCCTTTGGCAAAATGGGTCAAAAGAAGGACTTGACAGGCTCAGAAAACTCAAAAATAGTGAAATATCTTGCAGAGGGATGCAGCAGTCTCAAAATTGCAAAACTTCTGAAGCGTGATCATCGAACATCAAGCGTTTCATTCAAAATAGTCAACAGGGTCGCAAGAAGCGTGTGGAAAAACCAAGGCGCAAAATAACTGCCCATGAACTGAGAAAAGTCAAGCGTGCAGCTGCCAAGATGCCACTTGCCACCAGTTTGGCCATATTTCAGAGCTGCAACATCACTGGAGTGCCCAAAAGCACAAGGTGTGCAATACTCAGAGACATGGCCAAGGTAAGAAAGGCTGAAAGACGACCACCACTGAACAAGACACACAAGCTGAAACGTCAAGACTGGGCCAAGAAATATCTCAAGAGTGATTTTTTTTTTAAGGTTTTATGGACTGATGAAATGAGAGTGAGTCTTGATGGGCCAGATGGATGGGCCCGTGGCTGGATCGGTAAAGGGCAGAGAGCTCCAGTCCGACTCAGACGCCAGCAAGGTGGAGGTGGAGTACTGGTTTGGGCTGGTATCATCAAGATGAGCTTGTGGGGCCTTTTCGGGTTGAGGATGGAGTCAAGCTCAACTCCCAGTCCTACTGCCAGTTTCTGGAAGACACCTTCTTCAAGCAGTGGTACAGGAAGAAGTCTGCATCCTTCAAGAAAAACGTGATTTTCATGCAGGACAATGCTCCATCACACGCGTCCAAGTACTCCACAGTGTGGCTGGCAAGAAAGGGTATAAAAGAAGAAAACTAATGACATGGCCTCCTTGTTCACTGATCTGAACCCATTGAGAACCTGTGGTCCATCATCAAATGTGAGATTTACAAGGAGGGAAACAGTACACCTCTCTGAACAGTGTCTGGAGGCTGTGGTTGCTGCTGCACGCAATGTTGATGGTGAACAGATCAAACACTGACAGAATCCATGGATGGCAGGCTTTTGAGTGTCCTTGCAAAGAAGGTGGCTATATTGGTCGCTGATTTGTTTTTGTGTTGTTTTTGAATGTCAGAAATGTATATTTGTGATGTGGAGATGTTATATTGGTTTCACTGGTAAAATAATAATTGAAATGGGTATATATTTGTTTTTTGTTAGTTGCCTAATAATTATGCACAGTAATAGTCACCTGCACACACAGATATCCCCTAAATAGCTAAAACTAAAAACAAACTAAAACTACTTCCAAAACATTCAGCTTTGATATTAATGGTTTTTTGGGTTCATTGAGAACATGGTTGTTGTTCAATAATAAATTATTCCTCAAAAATACAACTTGCCTAATAATTCTGCACTCCCTGTATGAGGTTAACAATTGCGATATTTCTGCGCACAAGAGTCCTTGATCACTTTGCTGTTGACTTTGTTGACTTTGTTGACAGCAATGAAGGCAGTGAAAGAACTGCTCACTCCTGATTGGACACTGAGCTGCACCACTTTCTCGTTCACTCCTCCATCTTGCTGTCCTTTGCGATCTCTCGCTTCCATCTCCATGGAGCGAATCAGAGTCAGAGCACCCAACCTGTGGACTGTTAGTCTGCAGACAAGAACGAAAACATTACGGGATCATAACGTTTGTCATTTTGCTACATTACATTTTTGTTACACTCTGGGTTTTACCTTTGACACTGGCACCCCAATAGATTCTTCCATATGCTAGAAAAATGCATGAAAATATACTACTCAGTGCTTTTGCACAAAACTATAACGATTTCCTTTCTAGACGGGGACTAAGGTTTATATAACATATAATACACAGATATATATAGAAATTAAAAAAACACCCAGCACGCCCATGCGGGCGGTTTATCCTTCAAGCTCGGGTCCTCTACCAGAGGCCTGGAGCTTGAGGGTCCTGCGCAGTATCTTAGCTGTTCCCAGGACTGCGCTCTTCTGGACAGAGATCTCCGCTGTTGTTCCCGGGATCTGCTGGAGCCACTCGCCTAGCTTGGGAGTCACCGCACCTAGTGCTCCGATTACCACGGGGACCACCGTTACCTTCACCCTCCACATCCTCTCGAGCTCTTGGTATTTCTCCAGCTTCTCGTGTTCCTTCTTATATTGCTGTCATTCGGAGAGCAGTCCCTTCTTACGCTCAGACACTATGAGATCTGGCGGACACCCTCCTGCGCTCATCTCCCCTCCGGATGGTTTATGCTCAAAAGTGTTTTATGGATTAATGAGAATTGTATGGAATAAAATGATTGTTGATTGAGCATTTATACACCGAGTGTTCTCCTTCCTTCAACCCAAAGATCAAAAGAACTGGAGATTTTAACAGCATCAAACAAAAACCTTGGATTAGGTTTATTACCAATAATTAAACCAATAAAATAAGATGATGTAGTATCTTTTATGAATTTGTTAAATATGGTCCTTCATATGGTGTCATTATCCTCATTCATAATTGTGTTTATGTCTTACTTTTGGTTGCATCCTGTCAGTCCCTGTGATGAACTGAGCGTGACCTCCTCCTTCCTTGGCCATCCCATTAATGAGGGCAGAGCTGGCCCCTTCCCCAATCCCAAAAGAGAAACACCTGCAACACAACATGTCTGTGAAGGTTCTCAGTCATCCAGGTTATCGTAGTCTAAGAAGCTTGGGAAAAAAAGCACCTGGTCTTCTTTAAGTTTGTTTAAGTTTTCTTGAGGATGTTTCACAACTGACAAAGCTTCTTCAGTTCTAAGAGAAATTGCTCTTAGAACTGAAGAAGCTTTTTAGCTTGCTTTTCTTTCAAAGCTCCTTAGCCTGGAAATACAACAGTTTTCTTTAAATCCACAGAAAATTGTTGTATTTGCAGTTTTCTATGGAACTGTGTAGATATTCGTGTGTTTGTGGTTTCACCTGTGAGAACCTGAGTTCTTCTTCACCAGATCAATCACTTCTTTGGTGTTCCCCACCTCTCCATCAGTAAAGACAAACAGCTAAGAACATAACATGAAAAAAATAACCCACCTTTTTATATCAAAGTGGTTTTTATCTAGCTAATGTTTCTAAAGTCGGCAGTAAATTAATGTAAGCCAATGTGTATATTAGCTGTCACGGTTAACTGGGAATATAGGGCTGGCTGTAAATATGTTTGAAGGGCTCCAGGATTTCTTTTCTATGTCTAAGCATTTTCTGTCATTTTTCACACTCTGCTCTGTGTATTGGGGCTCAAGAACACATTTCCATGCAGCCAGAGATCAAACCACAAACGTTGTGATGAGCAGATTATCTGCTGCACAACCTGAGCCATAACCACCCTAGGAAAGTGTCCCACTGTATGTGTTACCTGTCTGGGCTGATTGGGAATGTAGGGCTGGCTGTAAATATGTTTGAGGGGCTGCAGGATCTCTGTTCCTCCAAGATCAGCCTCCATCTGCTCAACTTTCTTCAGAGCCTCCTCCATGGTCTGCTGGCTGTACTCCACACTCTTACTGCCATCACATAAACACATGCATCAAAAAAGCCATTCAGATATTTTAACCAAGACAGCATGGCCTTTCCTTGGGCTGGCTGATATGAGGGAGAGACTCACGGGAAGATGTGTTCATATATGGACCCAAAACTGTAAATGTTGAAATAGCAGCCAATTGGTAAGCTCTTCAACAGGAGCAGCAGAGTGTCCTTAAGAGAACAGGGAAAAGATGGTGAGCCCACTGTGTAAGAGGAACATTAAAAAAGTGTTTTATAACTCTAACATCATAAGTACCCTGGCACTGCTCATCCAAGATTCCTGCTGCTCAGTGTTATTCGTAGCACAGTCCATACTTCCAGATCGATCCACTACGAACACAAACTCTCCACATGAAGCCATTGAAGACATCACAGACTGGGGGAACTCAGGGTACAGACTCACCATCACCACTGGATCAGAGAGCCTGAAAAGCGAGATAATTTTTTATTCTATTTTTTTTTAAACAACCCCACTTAGTGTTTATTCAAACATATATAACTCCTGAGTTGACGAGTAAAGATAATTAACTTTTTATTTGCAAATTGTAACTCATTTTCACTCACCCGGCTCAGCAGAGGCCTGTCCTGCCTCCACCACAGCAGTGGGCTGGTGGGCGTCTTTGTAATAAATCAGCAGTTCAACATCTCTGTCAAACTTGTGTCCTGCAGCCAGCTTGACCTGCACACCACAAACACATTCATATTTATTCATCAGTAACAAGTAACAACCACACACAACAGACACATCAGCACTCTACCTACCGTGGCCTGGGTTTGATCAGTGTTGAGGTACTGCAGAGGGTCCAGGGAACAGTTGGACTCTACTTTAGAGATTGGACGAGGAGAGGACACTCGGGAAGAAAAAGACAGACTGTAGGGCACCAGAGAGACTGGAACAGAAGTCACCTGGACTCCTGCACCTTCACTACCTGTACTTGACATGAGATTGAATAAAAACCCTTTGATCCAGTTGTAACTTCAAATGATATCAAAAGAAATTCCGATAGTAAAATGCCATTATAATAAAAACTAAGGAGAAATCAAATAATTGAACATTTTTTAAAGGCCAGAATCAATGCAAAATGAAACCCATCCCACAACATTTTTTCTGAGCTTGTAAACAAAGGTGATAATGAAAACAAAGTTATTTTGCAGTAAATTTCCACCGAATATTTTTGTGTTATATTGAACTCATTGTCAATGTAACTTTTATATATCCATCACAACTTCTGAAAAAAAATATTTCTGTTTTATTCTAGAATTTTTATGTTTTTACAGACAGAAAAAGAGTGGAAATTTCCCCACCACCTTACATGCAGAAATGAAACTTTTTTCTGTTAAAGTGCCATCTGCTTTCCTACCCTGAGGTTGGTATCGAGGGTTGAGCACAGCAGGCAGACAGAACCTCAGACCATCATCAGCTTGCACAGCCAGCTCAGTGACGTACTCCAACCTGATGGAGGCGCTCTCTCCTGGAGGCAGACTGCCCACACTCAGAGAGAATATATCTGGACTCTCATCACTCTCCTCCAATAGGAAGGCCTGCTGACCGGAGCTCAGAGCATCATCATACTCCTCACGAGCCTGAAGCACAGGTGACACATGTCAGTGACATTCACTGTGATGGGAGTGTGTGAATGTGTGTGTGAATGGGTGGGTGGCTGGATGTGTAAAGTGCTTTGGGGTCCTTAGGGACTAGTAAAGCGCTATACAAATACAGGCCATTTACTGTGTTTATTTTGAAGCTCACTTATAATCAGGTTATATTTACTGTCCAGCTCACCTTCTGTTTCTCCTTCACCTCAGCTACAATCTGTGTCTGTCCAATCTGAGCGCTGAAATGACAGACAGCAGCATCTCCAGGCAGAGGGAAGACAAAAACAGCCTCTAATGGTTTGTCCTCCTTGTTCTCGTAGTTCAGAGTGGAGACCACTGTAGCCACATGGTCCCTCACCTCCAGCTCCACCTCAATGCTCTTCAGAGGAACTGACAGAGAAACAAAATCATCCAAGCTAGTAAATGCTAATTCAAGTCAAAATCTGCTCTTCCTCGTGTTCATTCATGTCTCCATGCATCTTTAAGGAACGTTTTGATGTGTATGAGCATAAATGTTTTGATGTTTATCTGGCTCTTACCTGCTTCCTTCTGGGAATTTAGCAGACCACAGGATCTATTCATTGTATTCTATACAAAAGACAACCACCACAGAGATTTAATTTAAATAACTGTTAAAAATAAATCATTAAACTAATGTTTCTGTGATTTTGGTACCAGAATTCAAATATGATTAAGGTGGATGAATCTAATCTGGCCTTTCCCCAAATGTCCTTACATATAATTCGGATTAATGATGCACTTAGAGTTTAATAGTAAAAGTGAAAACAACAACAACAACAACAACACATGGATCATGGGAAAGCACATTTATCGGCTGAATGATTTTACAAGCTGAAAATTATTCTAATCAATTTTTAACCTGGGCAGCACGGTGGCACGGTGGTTAGCACTGTTGCCGCACAGCAAGAAGGTCCTGAGTTCAATTCCAACATCAGGCCGGGGTCTTTCTGTGTGGAGTTTGCATGTTCTCCCCGTGTTTGCGTGGGTTCTCTCCGGGTACTCCGGCTTCCTCCCACCGTCCAAAGACATGCAGCTTGAGGGGATAGGTTAATTGGAAACTCCAAATTGCCATTGTGTGAATGTGCGAATGGTTGTCTGTGTGTTGGCCCTGCGACAGACTGGCGACCTGTCCAGGGTGTACCCCGCCTCTCGCCCTATGACAGCTGGGATAGGCTCCAGCGCCCCCCGTGACCCTGAAAAGGATAAGCGGAAGCGAATGAATGGATGGATGGATGGAATTTTTAACCTACACCACAATTGTCAAGAAAGTAATGTACAAAACAGGAAATTATGAGGGAGCATTTTTCATAAAACACTCACAGAATGCTTTACAGAATATAGAACAATAGATCAGAATCAGAAATAAAAAAGAAAAAAAATAAAACAAACAGAAATGGCAAAAGGTTTGAACAAACTAAATAAAATAGCAGGTAGGAAAGTTTGAGATCAATATCTAAATGGTACAGTGCCTTGTATAGAGGATGGGAGTAAAGCATTCTTGTCTCTTTCAGTGTTTTTGAGACCCAGAATTATAGGTCTCAAATGAACTGAGATGACAGAATGATGTCTTTTTCAAGGTCTGACCGCATAAATCTCTGTTTTCTTTTCTTGTTATTGTTTTAATATAACCAGCAAGTTGCATTACAAAGCCCAGAAAGTGACATTTCTACATATGTTTGTATGTATGCGTTTCAAGGTTGCACTGTGTGCAGGGTTCCTGCACTCATCTTGCAACCACAGACTGTGAAAGAACAAAGTTACTCTTCCAGCTCAAAGTGTTTGAAAGAAATTGGGTGGTGGCTTTCTTGTGTACCTCCTGTGGTTGGAAAGAAGCATCGACATTTGTTTCTCATGAACACTTTAAAATGTGTGAAACCGCACTTTGTTCTTTGCAGCCAAACCTGTTCTTGTTACTAATTTGGCATCACTGTGTTGAACTGGGTCACACTATGCACAATAAAGTGCATAGTGTGACCCAAATTGTGGTATTTGACAGCAACGTTCCTCGTGGCCAACTTCGTGATGCCTTTGGTTCCCTTACCAGCTCCCTTTCTGACATTGTTAGCAATCTGTGCGTGTTGTTTGACAGCTCGTTCAAACTCGATAAACAAGTGTCTGCTGTAGTTAGATCTAGTTTCTACCAACTCCGTCTCATCTCTAAGGCTAGGCAGTATGTTCCGCATAAGGACCTGGAAAAGCTCATGCACGCCTTTGTGACCTCAAGGCTGGATTACTGCAACTCACTTTATTTTGGTCTTCATTCAAAATTCTGCAGCACGCATTCTGACCAGAACTGGGAAGTTTGCCTGTATCACTCCTGTTCTAGCTGACCTGCATTGGCTACTCATAAAATACCGCATCCAATTTAAAATACTACTGCTTACATTTAAAATGACCAACAACACAGCACCGAGCTACCTTAAGGAACTCCTTAAATCATATGTTCCTGCCAGAGCATTAAGATCATCTACTGGGTTACTCTTGGTGCAGCCTAGATCTCGGCTGAAGTCTAGAGGTGACTGGGCGTTTGCCCTGGCTGCACCAGAGTTGTGGAATAACCTTCCAATTGTGATGCGGCCGTCTGATTCCATCTAATCTTTTAAATCACGGTTAAAAACCTATTTGTTTAATCTCGCCTTTCCTGCTTGTTAATGCTCGCACCTGACTTTTAGACTTACTCTATTTTTTCTTATGTTTTTATTTTGATATGCATTTTATATTACCCCTGTGTATTAGTGGCATTGACCTGTGAGTATATTTGATACTTTGCTAAAGCCTTATAATACTCGTGTTACTTCTCTGTCTCTTATGTTAAGCACTTTGGTATACCGCAGGTTTTTAAATGTGCTCTATAAATAAAGATTGTTGTTGTTGTTGTTGTAGACAAGTCCTAAAACTAGGCCTTCATATTTTTCGATTTTTAACAGTGCACTGAGATTTTTTGTTCGGCAATTTTCTTTTTTTCAAGCAGGCCTGCAATATCTGGATTGAAAGCACTACACAACATGTTGAACAATCGCAAGTGAGCTTCTCCAAAATTAAAATGGGCTCAGGAGAAAGCCACTTATTTGGGACAATCAGAAAACAAGTCCCTGTCAAAAAGGATTCAGTGAGGTAATCCAGTCTAAATTTTCTTTTCTCCTTTTTTGAAATGACGTCATTGCTGGCAGTAGAAACTTATTGCATCACAAGAGGTTCTACTGTCAGCAAATAAAAAATGGGGACTGACTGGACTGACAAAAGCTTAACTGACTTGACACCAGTATGCAAGATTGCACCTCCACCCAGACAGTGACAAAAGGGTGGATGTATGTATGTTTCTTTTTACAGGAGTAGAAAGGTGACAGCAACAGGTTGCATGGGCTTTTGGGCCATGCTGACTTAACCTTTTAGTTGCCACTTTCTGTGTCTTTGTGAATTTACCAGCAGTGTGTTATTCATGACCTTGTATTGTTTACAGTGCAGAGGTCACTGTGAGAAAGTGTGCATACAGATGCGCTGCGCTAACATCTACATCACTTTTTCCACAGCATAGGGTTAATCGTGGGATCTAATCACATGATTTACAGCAGGACATACCACTTGCTAATGTTTTTTTCTTACAACAGGGCCTGGAGTGAAGCTACTCCAGGGGAGAAGCCCTGGAATTTTTAAGAGACAATGCACAACTTTATTGTGCATGTCTAATTGTGCTAAGCTGACAGAAGGCAAAAGAGGGTTGTCCGGGGGAAGTTTTCATTTTTAAATTGCAGAGGCTGTGACATGAGGGATATGGAAGGATTGACTGAGGTGCAGATGCAGACCATGACTGGGAGAGAAGTAGTGATGGTAAATTTGATTCTTTTAGGGAGGCAGGCCATTTTTACTGAATCGAGTTTTAATGAGTCACTCACCAAAGTGAATCGGGTTTTTTGAGTCATTTGATTCACTGAGTCAGTTGACCAGAGAGTGCAAAAAATTTACATTTTCACTCAAACTTAATTTGTTTCTCTTTTCATGTAAATCCCACTGCTAAGATGAATGATTCTAAAAAAAACAACTATTTTATAAAGCAAAAACATTTCTAAAATTAAGCAATTTCCTATCAAAATTGCTTAATAAACATTTATTTTGTTTATTTTTATTTTATTAGTATTTTCCTTAAATGTGTTAAATATATATTTTCTCATCTAAATGTCCACTGAGCTGTGAGCCAGGGGGCGGTAATGCGGTTGCCAACCAAGAAGAAGAAGAAGCTGTGAGCCAGGAGGGAGGGGGTGAGTGAGTGAGTGATTCGTTCGCTCGCCCTATGATTCAGCACAGGAGGGAGGGGGTGAGCGAGTCCTGAGTGATTCGCTTACGCTTAAGATTCAGCACAGGAGGGAGGGGGTGAGTGAGTGAGTGAGTGAGTGAGTGATTCGTTCGCTCTATGATTCAGCACAGGAGGGAGGGGTGAGTAGCTCAAATGTGCTGTTAGCATGTTAGCAGAGCGATGCTACTGTGAACCGAGGAGCTATTTTCTTGATGTGAGCTTCTACTCAGGGTTTTTTCTTCCAGTTCAGAGCAGAAATGCTTTTGTTAAGAAACTGGCTGTTGTTCCCCCCCCCCACAATTTTAATTATAAGCTAGATATATTTCTACTAAGCAAATTAGTTTGCTAACAGAAACAGGGATGAGTCAGTGAGTCAGTTGGGCTTGTGAATCATGATTCACGAGTCAGTAAAGTGATTCTCGAGTATTGAACGATTTGTTCACGAATCGAACATCGCTAGAGAGAAGGCTTCAAGAGGACCATTGAGAAGCAGGAACCATCTCCAGGACAGCAGACAAACGACAGTGGGCTGCACCACTGGGCTTCCAAAGGATTGTCACGAGGAGATTTCGCACAGCAAAATCTTAAATAAAATGAAAGAGATTTCGACGTTGAGGAAGACAACTAAAGTGTACGACTTGCTCTGCCTTAAATCTACAGCCGCGTTGGGACAGAAATCGAGGGATGAAGAGAGCGTGCTAAGCTCCAAAGGTGACAGCGCAGAGGGAGATCAGCGCTGGAATTATAACTCTGTAAATGGCACAGACACCAGGAGCCATGACCGTGACTGGGAATGACCACCTAATGCTGTTTCACTTTGCCATGCAAAGTACTTTGACACTCTGGAGAAGACCTTTCCTCTGTATCATTTTTGTTGCCATTTGCATGTGAGAGCTTAGATTGTGGGGAAGATTAAAGATGAACAAAGGGTGGTGGGAGAACAGTGGAGTGAGGATACACAGTGTGAAACTCCTTTAAGTGTACAATAATGTTGATGTGATATACACAATGTCAGGAAAGAAATTCTGGTATTAATGTGATTCTTGATTTAAGAATGAAAGGGTGGGATTGTATAGGAATTTATTTTAGTTATGTATTAATCACATTATCTTATTGTATAATGCCTTGGTGCCACTGGATTTAAACATGTCTGACACCCATACAGTAAGACAAATGGTGGGGGTGTAGTAAGGAAGTTGGGGGGAGCAGACACTCCACACGAAGAGTCTTTTGTCTCTTCGAGGACTCTGGGAGGTAGCAAGGGAGTGTGAACCTTAAGGTGTAAAACAGCTGTGTACTGCCTTTTGTTCCTGGAGAAGGTATTTAACTGAGAGCCGGGCCTCGGGGGCTTGGGTCCTGGTTGGTGTGTTGCCGCGACAGAACACTCCCCGAAGGGCATGATCGGGCCAATTGGCCTCAGCGGCTGCGGTACGGAAGTCAATAATGAACTCTGCGACACTCTGGCTCCCCTGCTGTAACCCAAGCAACCTTTCATCAGAACTGCCCTCAGATTCTGGATGAGTAAAGGTCCTTTTAAACTCACACAGAAAATCATCATACAAACAGGTTGGGAGCAGATGAGCCGACAGGTAAGCCTCAGCCCATAACAGTGCATTGCCCTGAAGCTTAGCCACCAGATATGCTACCCGAGCTGATTCGCTAGCAAATGAACGGGGAGAATGCGTGAACGCGAGAGAACATTTTAGTAGAAAGGCCGTGCAGCCACCCTGCTCCCCTGAGTACGGCTCGGGTTCTGGGAATGCAACATCGCGAAAAAGGGAGCCTGAAGGGGTTGGAGCTGGGGAAGACTGGGGAGGTTCTGCCACGGGTGCAGGAGACGCAGAGGACGGGCATGGAGTAGAGGAAACAGCTGACTGAATTTCCTGCATGGAAGCTAAGATCTTAGCCTGAGTCTCGCCTATGGCTTGGCACCGGGTGTCGAGGGCCTGCAACGCTTGCTTATGAGCCCCTAAAATGGCTCCCTGCTTGGAGACTGCTGCACGTACTGGGTCTGCTGAGTCCATTTTCTGGCCAGTTGGTACTGTCACGGGGCCGAGTGGCCTGTACTGAACAGGACTCTGGTGCAGAAACCCAGAGCAGAGACAGCAGATGATGTAACAATTTATTAGGCTTAAGTGCAAAAAAGAAAACGTAGCAAAGACAAAAAAAATAAAATAAGACGTGGAGCTGAGGTGGTTCGGGCATCTGGCAAGGATGCCCCCTGGGCGCCTCCTGGGCGAGGTGTTCCAGGCATGTCCCACCGGGAGGAGGCCCCGGGGCAGACCCAGGACACGCTGGAGAGATTATATCTCTCGGCTGGCCTGGGAACGCCTTGGTATTCCCCGGACAAGCTGGAGGAGGTGGCTGGGGAGAGGGAGGTCTGGACTCTTTGCTTAGGCTGCTACCCCCGCGACCCGACCTCGGATAAGCGGATGAAGATGGATGGATGGATGGACGTGGAGTCAAAGGAGCTTGCAAAGAAAAGCGTCTGGACTTCTTTAAGTTGCTTGAAGACGTTTCACCTCTCATCCGAGAAGCTTCTTCAGTTCTAAGGTCAAATGGTGGAGAGTCCCAGATATAAACCTAGTGGGAGTTTCCCCCCACAGAGGGACAAAGGACCCCCTGATGATCCTCTAATCGCCTGAGCCAAGGTGTGAAACTGGGCGTGGGTCCCAATCAGCCAGAGTTTCGGGTGAGCTCATTGTGAAACCTGGCCCCACCTTATCATGCGAACAGTCACACTGAAGAGAGAAGATAGAGGAGTTAGGGAGGTAGTGGAGGCAGCTCTGAAGTGGCCAGTTGTAAGAGTAGCAATTCTTACTTGCAGTAGGGGACATGGAGTGTTGAGAGGGGGGTGATGAGAATCCAAGGGGAGGCTGAGTGGCGTGGAAAGGCTGGCCTGAGATCCGGGGCTTCAGATGGAGTGTGATGGCAGGAGGGCAGGCAGGTGAGGCACAGAGAGATTTTCAGAATGATTGCTTGGTATCCTGAGCCCGGCGGTGGCGCGTGAGCCAAGGTGAATACAGCAAATGTGTTGATGACGAACTGACAGTGACTGAACATCAACGTGTGGTTTAAATCCCTCTGGCTTGATTGCCTGCAATAGGCTCCAGGTGTGCAGGAGCTGGACTTGGCCCTGCCCAGGGGCGGATCCCAGGTCAGTTCAGGAGCCTTATGGAAATTCCAGCCACCCACCGCAGACCATGACAGTGTGTTTCTTTTGTCCTGCTCCCCTCTCCCTTAACCAGTTGTGGCAAATGGCTGCCCCTTTCTGAGCCTTGATCTCCCAGAGGTTTCTTCCTGTTAAAGGGGAGTTTTTATTTCCCACTGTTGCCAGGTACTTGCTCAAAGAGGATCATTTGATTGTTGGGTTTTTTTCTGTATTGCTTAGTGTATTTACCTTACAATATAAAGCACCTTGAAGTGACTGTTGTGTTGATTTGGCGCTATATAATTAAAACTGAATTACATCTCTGAAGAAATGTTACATGCATGTTTTGTTGCTTTTTAAAGTGATGGGGAATAATTGTAATGGGCTAATAAAAAGGGACAGACGTGCTCTGTGTAAAGATCAACCCTTTGACCATCATTCACTGCATCATTAATTGCTTTAACTTATAGTCCATAATGCTGTAAAAACAAAAAAAGAAAAAGCTGAGTCATTTTCACATTTTTATTGAGGTTTGAATTCAGAAAGTCTGTTGCTGATCTCAGTAAATGTAACAGGATGTCTCCGAAAATTTACAGTTGTGGATAAAACAGGGTGATGTGTTATTGTCAGGTTTAGTGAATAAAGACCCAAATGCAGGACTTCCTGAGAAGCCACAGGCAGTTTATTTACTTCATTTACTATTTATATCAGTTTGGCCAGCAGTCACGTATAGGTTCAAACTAAATGGCACGAGGCTGCAAAAATATTTATCATCTAGTAATCTTTATTAATGAAAGCATGAGTGTACCCACCAAAAACCACCAAGAAACCAACCCCTGTAACCAGCAACTGGCTTCTTTTTATTCTCTATCATTCAGGTGAGCATCTGGAATAGCCCAAGTCTGGGGGAAGCAAAAAAATGAGGAACAAAACATCCACATATGCAAACATCAAACCACAATATAACACATGGAAGACATTTATATTTTGTACAAAGTCCTATGAATTATTCAACATGTGTGTACTAGAAAATGCACAGATACATAATAACAATCTTCTTGTGGGACATGTGTGTGTGAGAGAGACACAGAGAGAGTTGCGTGTAAGAGTGTATGTCACCCCCAAATTTCACAAACAAAACACAAGGAGCACACGTCCAAAATACATTAACGACTCAAAACAAAACTAGACCGGATCAAGTCCATGAAAAGTTCAGGGGGTCGACCCAGAGGTCGACAGAACAAGAGCCAAAACAGTTCAGGAGGCCGGCCACACGGAAGGCAGTTGCGGCAACAAAGCAGGTCCGGAGGCCGGCCGTGAGGCCAGCTGCAGTGACAGAGCAGGTCTGGAGGCCGACCTCGACGCCCATGATGCCCAACTAGAGGCCTGGAAAGCGGGGGTTCTCCTGAACCCCAGCTAACGTAGCTTGATGCTGGCCAGGCTCTCCAGAACCCCCAGCTGACAAAGCTTGATGCTGGCTGGGTTCTCCTGAACCCCCAGCTAAAACAGAAAATGCCTGGACGGGCCTCCTGGGCCCTCCAGCGGAGACAGGCAACTGAACGGGTCCCTCGGACCCTTCAGCAGAGACGGACGGCTGAAACAGTTCTCCAGAACTGCCAGCGGAGACTGACAGTGACGTGGGAGCCGTGACGTGCTGGATTGGCTCACTCGAGCTTCCAGCAGGGCGTGATTCAGGACCAGAAGTAATTGAGACCCCTGGCTGAGGGTGTAGATGAGTGGCTGACTGGATGGGTGAAAGTACTGGAGCCTGAACTGATGACAAAGCTAATGATTGCGCTACCAACTGAGCTACTGACTGAGCTATGGACTTTAACAAAGGTTGTAGTAAGTGTGGTTGTGGTAATGACTGAGCTACAGGTAGCGGGGCTGATTGTGGTGGAAGTGAAGACTGAGCTAAGGACTGCAATAAAGGTTGTAGTGATGGTGGTTTTGATGGTGACTGAGCTAATCCTCCTGAGCCTCCTAAACATGAGAAAAACTGCTGGACGGGCTCACCTGAGCCTCCAGCGGACACAGGAATGGGTGCCGGCACCAGCTGAACACCAGCCCCTCCCACCCGAGTAACTGAAACGGGTGGAGGGGAACGCTGGGCCCGAGCAGCCCTGGGAGCAGGAACAGGAGGAGAGAGAAGCTCAGGAACAGTCTCAAAATGCACAGTATTGCCAACTGGGTTTGGGCATATAGTCTTTGGAAAGTGGGCAACCTCAGAAACATCCAACTGGGACACAGAACAGTCCCTAGAAGGAGCCACAATCTTAATAGATTGTAGCAAGGGGCAACTAGAGTCCTTAAGTGTCCTTGGGGAACAGACAGCCTCTTCCTTCAGAGAGCTTAAGTTACAGCCTGCAATATCCGTCCCTATCAACTGCCTGTGCCCCTGCTGAAAAGTACATGGCTGAAAGGCTGGCTTAGAAACATTAACCACCTCCCTTTCAGCTGACTTGGAAACAGAACTTGCAGTCTCCGGAAATTTCACAGCAGTCTGAATATTTCTTCCCTCAGATTTAAGGAGAGTAGTCTTGGTCATTTTAACACTGGGTTCAGATTGTACAGAATGAAAACAGGTTCTTAAATCCTCAGAGCAGGAGTTCACAGGGGTTGGATTTATTGTTTGTTACGTTCATGAGTTCAGGAGGAGCATGAGAAAAACAGTCTTTGTTGCTCACCACTGCTGATTGTCCAGACAGGGCTCTAGACTACCTTTTTGCCATGGGCCCACCGAGGCGCACCAGCACAAAAATTAGGCGCACTCAGATTTTTCAACCGCATCGCTTAACACCGCAGTTTTACATGTGCACTTTTTTGGGGGGGAATTGCAGTCCATATAGATAATATTCATTTCTAAATTATAAACTAACAATCTTGTGCTTAAAGTGCTTTGTCAATATTGTAGAAAATGTTAAACTTAATCATCATCTCGGCCTCCTCTGACGACCTGTTTGCTGTTGCATGCTGCTGAAAGGCAGTGGGGAGAGGGGACACTTGGGCAGTGCATTTATTGCAGCATATAATGTGTTTTCTGGATACACTGTGCTTTTTCAGCATTCAAAGATTGATGGCACCGTGTCAGAGCACTGGCTATGAATTTCAGACGGATCAGGCTTTAACTTAACAAAAAAAGTTATCAATAGTTATTTTCATCTTTTCTTATTACCCGCAGCTACATCCACTTCTCTCAGGCCTAGGCTGCTCACTAGGGCTGGGTATCATCACTGATTTCTATAATCCATTCGATTCCAGTTCTCAAAGTCCTGATTCGATTCAATTTAGCCTCAGACAGTCAGAAATATTATAATTCTGATCATTTATCAGTACGGATACATGTCAGACTTCATCAGAATTGTGAACATCACAGCAGATGCCTTTGTGTCAAAGTAACTGAGAATAAAACACAGAAAAACATGAAGGAGATTTTTCTGGCCTGGCTTTTTATAGCAGATAATCTTAAAAATATTCTGCAATATTCTGCAATTTTGCATAATTTCAAAAAGTTTAAATTACTTCAGTATTGAACAACAGAAAAAAATTGCCTTTCTTGTCTGAGGTCATTTAAGTGAAAAAAAGAAAAGAAAAAGACAGCGGCCGACAGCGCTGTAAACAACTGTAGACTGGTGGGTAATAAGCAAATGAATAATGCAGAAAACAGAGATTTGAGACGGGAAACTGTTCTTGAAGTACAGAGAGAGATAGAGAGAGAGCAAGCTGTGCATTAGGTGTGATTTTTATCGTGGTGGAAGCAAAACAGCAAAACTCAGAGTGAATTCATGATGACAATGTGAAGCGCAGTTTGCTGCTTCTTTCGCTGCTGGCTCGGTGAATTTGGTTGGAGAGAGACAAAACCTGCAGCTCAGC